GCCCAGGAGTTGGAGGTTGCTGTGAGCTGTAATGCCACGGCACTCTACCCAGGGGGACAGCTTGAGGCTCTGTCTCAAAAAAAAAAAAAAAAGTGTCTTAAAAATAAAATAGGGGTAGTGCCTATGGCTCAAAGGAGTAGGGTGCTGGCCCCATATACCGGAGGTGGCAGGTTCAAACCCAACCCCGGCCAAAAACTGCAAAAAAATTAAAATATTAAAATAAAATACTGATTAGCAATAGCCATCCATTTTTGCAGATAAGTTCACTGTTCCTAGCACACTCTGAATTCTTTGCGGTGAGAGTATCTCTAGAGCTTAGCAGGTTTTTCTCACTTTTCTTGTACATTCCAAATTCAGCTGTTTGGAGGCAGGGCAGTGAGGTGGTGAAAGGCAAGGACTCCAGAGCCAGCCTTTGTGAGTGCAGATCCCAGCTCCCCCACCTATTGGCTGTGTGACACGGGAGAAGTTCCATAAACCCTGTGTGTTTCAGTGTCCTCATAAGCAAAAGGGGGGAAAAATTATACATACTTTACGGAGTTGCCATAAAAGTCAAAGACATTTTATAGAAACACTCAGAATAGTTCCTGGTACTCAGTAAGCATCAGGAAGTGTTTGCTATCATGACTCAGTTGAAGACCTCCACGTGGCCTCAGCTAGCCTCCCAGCTGCACTTCCTACCACACCTTCTGCATCGCTTGCTTCACTCACACCTTCCTTCCTTCCTCTGATCTTGTTTTTATAGTTCCGGGAGCAAAATGTTCCCCCCAGATGCCTCGCCCATCACACTCCTCCCCATCCAAGGTCCCCCAAACCAACTTCTGCCATTTCACCATGGTCTGGGCTCCAGTGGTGTGGATTTAATACTCCCTCCTCTGGACGGTGATTTTTTAAAAAAAAAAAAAAACCCTCTCTTGCAGGATTTCATTTTAGCTAACGTAATACCTGGCTATCTTCATGCCCCTTGTGAGATGGACTGCAGTGGTTGAGCTCACAGCTCTAGGCTGGGCTGCCTGCGTTTCCATCTCTGCAGTGGTTGAGCTCACAG